GAAAAAATGACAAGAGAACGAAAAGAATTGATGAGTAATGCACGGGGATTATAGAGTAGGAGATTTTACTTACTGGGCATCTTTGTGCTCACTCCATTGTTTTCTTTGTTGTACAGGACATAGGAGAGGACCTGGTCGGATGGACGTCGACAAGCGGGGAGACTTGGCTGCACTGTCCACTATTTTCGTTTTTGAGAGTCTTTTGTACAAATGATGTTGTACTTTGTAAAGAATGTAATTATTAAGTAAAGAAAAAAATTTTGGGCCCAACTGTTTTGATAAATATGCTGTCTTTTTATTAATATATATTATGAATATGGTAGTAGAAAGAAGTTGTTACAGTTGTGGTCGAATATTGGTTGAATATAGATTGGTTTTCAGCTGGAGTTTTGTGTATTGATGATGATTGATGTAATAGCTTCTTTCTACTAGTATACTTTAGAAACTACTATGAGAACATACATACATATTGAATACAAAATAGTTGGGCCCAAAATTTTTCTTTTTATTTAATATATTATTCTTTACATAATCACATCAAAGTCGGGTATATCAAACACTATTAAATCAACTACTAACTCTCGCCCATGGATCACTACAGATAACATCTCATGGGTCAAAACGCTAACCCCATCAGGTAACTCTATCTTAATGGATTGACTCACTCTTATAGGTTTCAAATCTAATCTTTCTATCATCCATAAGATATAAATGAGTGAGTGGCTCCAGAATCAATTAAGGCATATAAAGGAACTGCATGAAATAATAACTGACCCGTAATAGCTAATGGACTGGCCTCTGCTTCACCTTGTGCCACTGTAAACACCTTGGCATTAGTACCTCTGGAATTCTGTGCTGTAGGTGGAAAAAGAACTTTACAATCTTTCATCAGATGCCTTGGCTGCAGGCATCTATAACACACATTGCGACCCAACTCTCTCAGGCACTCTCCTGGATGAGTCTTCCCACATTTAGGACATGGGGGAAACTCCGCTGTTCTTGGTCATTTACTTTGCCAATCTTTTCTATTCTTCTTAGGTGGAAACTTCTTCTTATTCTTCCCTTCTCTATTTCTTGCACTCTCAAATATTTTTCTCTGCGGAGCGGGAGATGGTTCACTCGGTCTCGCTGGAGTAAGTTTATTGACAAAAATTTCTGCCCTTAAAGCTCGCTCTAAAGCTTCACTATAGGTTCGAGGGGGCTCTGCTCCTGCCATTACATCCCGGGCTATCTCTGGCTTTAGCCCATGGACAAACTTGTCTTTTCTCAACTCTAGAGTACTCATTATCTCGGGAGCAAACCGTGCAAAGGAGTTAAATTTCACTGAATACTCTTTCATTGTGCTAGTCCCTTGCTTCAAACTGATAAAGTTTTGTATTTTCTCATGAACCTGGTCAACTGTTCTATACTCAGTTTCAAACAATCTTTTGAAATCTCCCCAAGTTATCACAGAAACATCATGAGTATCTTCCATCAATTCCCATCAGATTCGGGCGTCACCCTGAAACAAGAAACTGGCATACTGTATCTTTTCCCGGTTCGTCACCGAAAACAATGCCGTCGTGCGCTCTACGGACCTAAACCATTCTTAAACTATTAACGGGTCCTTTGTACCTTTAAACTCCGACAGCTGATGCTGACTTGGGAGCCCATAAATCGGCTCAATTCGATTATGTACTGTCGAAGGTATTGGCCTTTCTCTTTCTTCTCTAGTGGTCGGTACTTGCACGGGGGTTTCAATTCTTTCTGGTTCAACTCTCCCTTGACTTTCTACTAACACTTGCTATATCAGTTCCTGAATTCTAGCTTCATCAAGGGTAGGGGGAGTAGATTGTGGCGGGTTGGAAGGTTCCCTCGCACTCCTTATCTTCTTACTACTTGCTCGGGTTCTATGTCTCATCTACAAGACAACCACATTTAATCAACTCAACTAGCACTTTAAGTAAGGAAATAATTAACTTACAACAATCGGCTACGAAATGTCGTGGCGGCGAGAGTGGCACACTGTCAAATCCCAAAATCTTTGCTCTGATACCAAAAATGTAATAGCTTCTTTCTACTAGTATACTTAAGAAAAATACTATGAGAACATACATACATATTGAATACAAAATAGTTGGGCCCAAAATTTTTCTTTTTATTTAATATATTATTCTTTACAAAATACATATTAAAATAATATGTACAAAGCTTTGCAATGGTGGACAGTAGTGCCATGTCTCTCCGCTTCTCGACGTCCATCCAACCGCTTCTCACCTATTTCCTACAAAACACGGAAAAACGACAGGGTGAGCACAAAAATGCTCAGTAAGTAAATCCTCTACTCCTTATCCCTGCAACTTATTCTTTGGTTCTTTCCTTACTCTATTCTTCCTCTCCTTCATTCTTTCTTTGTTCTTTCTCTTTTCTTTCACTGTTTCTATTTCTCATTGTTCTTTTCTTTCTTTCTAATTCACTTTGTTCTTTCTTTCTTTTTATTCTTTCTTTCTTACTAACCATGATAGAAATCACGGTAACATGCATGAATGGAATGCATGTGCAGTAATGCATAAAAATGCATTGCCTTTCTTTCTCTTCCATTTCTATTTCTATTTCTTATTCTGTTTCTTTTGTTTTCTTTTTGTTCTTTTCTTCTTTTCTTTTCTTTCTTTTCTTGTTGGCTCAAGCTTTCTCATTCTTTCTCATTCTTACTCTTTCTTTCTTTTATTTTCCTATCGAACTCAGTTGATGCACGGATTCGGAACCCTGGCCGTGTGAGTGAGTACAGTCCTCATCTACATGCGCTCTTGCGGACTGTACAAATTCTTTCTTCTTCTTAGGCCACTCAATTAAGGTGCGTGCATGTAGAAAAATCTTCTTGGTACAACCCTCATCCACATACACTTTTACGGGACGTACAAATTCTTCTTCTTCTTATGCCACTCACCTAAGTTAGCATATATGTGGGAAATTCTTCTTCTTATCACCCACGGGTTTCCCATCGCAACAACCTATACTTTTCTTTTCTTTAGCACTCTTCTTTCTTTTATCCTTTAGTGCTTTTCTTTCTTTCTCTTTATTCTCTTTATTCTTTATTCTTTCTTTAAGTTCTTATGCATATGCAATTATATGCATGTGGATGGCCCATGCTTATGTTTCTTTCTTAAGTGCAATTATGCAATGCAAATATGCTATGTTGCACAAAAATAAGTTTTTCTACTTACGCACAAGCTTCTCTTAGGCATTTCATCAAACATCAAGCATCCATACTTGAATTCTATCTTTGGTAAATTTCTACTTCTTTCTTAATCCATCCATTCATGGAGCAAAACTCCTCTACAATAAATCTAAACCTGGCCAGGAAAAACACTTCAAATATTCTACTCAGTTTCTTTCTAAATGCAACCAAACTTCACTTGGTCACCACCATCTCAACTCTACTTCTCATGGCTCAAATCTACTCATCAAGAGCCATCTACTCATCAATAATCACATTCTCAACAATCAAATTCAACACATAAGCACATACATGCATATCAAATCATTTGGTTACTTAAATCTTAGTTTGGGTTGGATTTACATACCTTTTTCTTGAGTAATTTCACAAAAGCTCACTATCTTTGTTGGATTTGTTCTCTTTCTCAAACTCTAAGCATAAACTTTATAAGAATTCAACACTTACTCAAATTAATCTTATAACTAGAGCAAGAATCCTCACCTCTTGATGCTTAGGATCAAATCCTTGTCAAAATCCAACCAAAAGCCCTCAATTTCCTTAGCAAAATGGATGAAGAATTGAGAGAAATTGAGCGTAGTAGAAGTGTATGGGGTGTAGAGAATGGGAGGGTTTCTAAGGCTAAACCCTTTTTAGCTCATATAAATAAGCACTCTTTCCCAGTTTGCCCTTACACTTCTTGAAAATTTCATCCTTGTCCTTTAATTCTTTACAAATACACCCCCACTCCAAAGCATTCTCCATGAAATTTTCTTACATTTCACTCCCCACTTTTCCTGCTAATTAGGGGTAGAATGGTCACTTCACCCCTAAGGAAATTTCTCTAGAAACTTCACAAGAAAAATCAGCCGACTCTTCACCCCGGTGAAGATTTTGCTTTGCCTCGGCAAAAAAATACAGAGTACGTCGCCACGGCAAAGATTGTTCTTCGCCTCGGCAAAGTCTACACTTCCATGATTTCACCAATCCTTCACCAAAATCAGGGCATCCAAGCAACTTTAACAACTTACAAACTTAACCAAGGGCAACCAATCAACAATAACACCATATCAATTTAACTTAGGGCCAACAAACAACACCAAGACAAAAATAAGCATACAAAACTACGTACCTCAAAGTGGGCATTACAATTGATATGGCAGCAGGTTGAATATTGGTTGAATGATGATTGATGTTTGATGGTGGTTGAATATTGGTTGGTTTTCGGCTGGGGGTTTGTGTATTTGGCAGATTTGATATGGGTAGGATGGTGTTTTCTGGTGACCAAAGTTTGGAGGATAGTTGGATTGGTTGCAGTCGTTTCCTCCTTCTTAGATTGACGACAATGGGATGATACTCGTTGGTGATTTTTCCAACGGTTACTCTAGAATGAGCAATTTTTTTTAATCAGAGAGTGGCTCTAATACCATGTTTGAATGAAGCATTGTAGGTCTTTTAATTCATATATTTACACTCATGATTACAGGTTTTTATAGGTAGAATATACTCTACGTAATCTCCTAATTATGTCAATAAAATATACTGACATAATTAGGAGATTATAGGATATCAAATACATTATAAATATCTAAAGACTAACATAATTAGGAGATTATAATATATTCCTGAAATATTCAATAAATCTCAACATTTATATGTATGAAAACAAAAATTGATTTCCTAATTATAAAATCCCATTGGCCCTTGCTTCTATCTTGTTGATGATCTATCAATGGAGGAAAGCACAGAAAGTATTGCCATGCAAATGAATCCAAGGAAGAGAAGGCCAGTAGTAATATTAGCTTTGTCAAAGGAATTTGTCTGTCTTCAAATCTGTCTCATCAAGCCCGCCCACCCCGAACATCGCTTCAACGCTTTTAATAAAATCTTTCAATAGTTTCTTCAACTCGAAGGTAACTGCAAATCCAGCTCCGACACCAGTAGCTAACAAGAATGCAATGATCTTCAACAAAAAAAATGTTTATGCCCATTAATTATATATATTTATGTCACACCAAATTGTATTAAAAGATAAGTAAAGTCACTCCACTATTGTATTATTTAATAATACATTTAGAAAATAGTTGAGTAATTAATTAACTAACAACATTAATTAAATAATTTACTTCCAAAGGATTGATAAATGCATCCCATTAAAGCATAAAAACTAACAAAAATGTATTATTACCTTATCACCGAAAAAATCAAACTCTAGAAGACACCTATTTCGGATAAGCCTCTTTCCCTTGGAAGCATGGTATAATGCAAATGGAATTTGACAAAGCGAGTAAAGGAAGCCGATAATTCCCGTTGCTATAACATATCTGCACCAATTCACATTTTAAACTCTTGAAATACAAAATTTACAGTCACGTTTTTAAAATTCAACAATTTATTTATTATTTTTTTTTTTTTGTAGTTGAACTAAAAGTTTAGGAGATTATTTTTACCTGTACGCAATAACATCCTTGAAAGAAATTTTGGTACCACCACTAAGAGTGAATTTATCTAGATACAATAAAACAATAGAAGCAGCTAACAATCCAAGTGTTAGGAGCCTCAGCACAACAACTGATATCAAGACTGACTTTGATTTAGAAGCCATGAATGAATGAAATGTTTAGACTTTAATAAATTTTTATATTTACTTGTGCCTATATATGTTGGTTATAATATAGCTAATAAAATATAATTCATAAAGGATTTTTTCAGCAATCGGCAGTCGACATGTTTAGTATTTTCGGATTGTTGACAGAAATTATATACGCCAAATGAGAAAAATCAAATAAGAAAATGTTAAAACTTATATGCACCAAAACAATTGTTTCAAGTTCCCAAATTCAGGAGAAAAAAAAAGGCGGCTTCATCTCAACATTTTTGTGATTGTAGATGAACCAAATGGTTAAGGCTTAGACACAACATTGTTAATGGATTATGACTATATATATATATATATATATAGTCATAATGTTGAGATTAAATAAATTATTACTATGAGGTGGTTATAACTAATAGAGATATAGTTACAAGAATTATTGTTTTGACTTCTTATTTTATAATTCATGTTTTAGTAGTATTAAATGAATTGAGTGATCAGATTCGACAATTCACTACACTAATCAAATAGATATTAATATCTTTCTCAATTATCAAATGAGCAAAAAGTCGTGTGTGCAAGAATTATTGTTTTGACTTCTTGTTTATAATTCATGTTAGTAGTATTAAATGAATTGGTGATCAATTTGACAATTTCATATACTAATCAAATAGATATTAAGTTTTGCTCAATCATCAAAAGAGCAACAAGTGTGTATGCTTTAACTGAAGAAGAAATCATTACTAGAATTAGTCAAGAAGAGGAAGTAGATACCTGAAGATGATAGTACAGAAATACCAAAATTTTGTGCCAAAAAGCTCTAAATATACTTGAGAAGCTAGAATATTTTAGCTTCAATAAGAAGGTGTCCATATTGACGACTTATTACGTACCGTCAGGTAAAAGATGTTGTATAACTCTAAAGCAAATCATTATCCCAAACAACTTTACATAAAATATATTTTATCTTAAACCTTTAATGTATTAATATTTATATATATATTTTTTTTTTTGTAATATACATATAATTATTACTATGTAGTGGCAAGTTCTTTAAGACGAGACCTAGAAAAATTATAATATATTACAATATAAAATTTATTCTTATTTATAACTCGCTCAAGTTGGGAGCAAATTTTTTATAACTATATCGGGTTATTACATATAGATATTACTATAAGAGATTTTACTATATATATATATATACTAAATCTTGATCGGCAGTGACCAAGGATAGACTATAAGAAATTCAGTCTTTTAGGAATAAATTTTTCTTTGCTGAAACTATGTAATTCTTCATTAAAACTCTCTATCAAAAAAAAAAAAAAAAAAAAGACGACTTATAAATGATGGTTTTAAGCTATCCTTAATAGAACAAAAACATTTTTTATTGAAGTTATTTAAAAAAAAAAAATTATAAGACATTTAAAAAATATCCTCTTTTAATCTTTTCATAATATAGATAGTAAATCTAATTTTTAATATGAAAAATATTAAATATGTTAATTCTAAAAATGTTAGCATAAATGAAAGCTTCAAAAAAATCATTTTCTTATAAAATAGAATATGCTTTTGAATGACATTTGGTTTAATTACTATCAAATCCAATTGTGTTCAAATTTTTTTTTTCTAATTGAATATTGCTCCAGTACATAATCTCTTAATATTCTGTGGAGAGAAGGTAATATAAATTTACATACATTTTTTAATTTGATAGCTTTTGGCTAAGCTAGTCTTACATGCATAGTGATCTTATATTTTCCTAATGGTGTCAATTTGTAGCCTTTTTGCATTTTTGAATAATTAATTTAGAAAGTATAGGTTGGTCTTACAAAGATTATCACACAGCAAAATATTCAAATGCCCTACTTGTTAATGGAAAGTTTGATATTACAAGAAATCTTCTTCCGTAACCGTTTCTTCTATAAAAATCATTTGCTTTTAACTTTAATTTTCCTATATCTAATAGTGTCTATGATTAATTAGAGTGTTACTTTTTAAAATGGAGAAATTTCATTGCCTTTCATATTATTATGGTAGCTAAGCCGAATTGCAGAGTCCAAAAGATGAAGGTGCTGGTCATCTATACAAGCAAAATATGTGAACCCAAAATACAATTTGATTTTGCGAGAAAAGCTAAAATACAACAGTGGTACCATCTCAGCATATTAAGTTGGTGTCACAAACCACTCAAAATTTAACATGTATTAAAATTAAATGATAAATTAAGGGTCCAATTAAAAGAAAGTTTAAAGTTAAGGATTAAATTGGAAGAGAGCTTATATACAAATTATAAGGAAACAAAACGATGTTTAATTGTTTACGGTGTTATTCTATCGGTTTTCCGTCAAAAAGAATTGGAAAATATTGTGGAAAAATAGATTAGGGAAAGGGAATTAGACAACAAAGGTGGAGGCGACTAGGTGGTTTTGTCGCGGGCGACAAGGAGTGGCCTCGTGAAGCCTAACATTGCACCTCACGCTGGCGACTCAGTGTGGCAGGACTCTACAGCTTGATGTCGACGACCTAACATGGTTGGATTTGCTACCTATTTCGCTGACCGCCACCAAATCCTGTCCTAACTTCATTGAGCACAACCTTAAGACCACCATCCAACCAAAGACTACACAACACATCAAGATAAACAATTCCTTTAGTTTCGATTTTTTTTTTTCAATTACTTAAATTTGTTATGTAATAGCAATAACTTTGTTTCAATTTTGTTTTTCAATTACTTAAATTTGTTGTGTAATAGAAATAGCTTTGTTTCAATTTTGTTTTTCAATTACTTAAATTTGTTGGGTTTGATTACACTTGAGTTAGTAACAAGAGGACTGAAAAAAAGGGCAAGTGAGAGAAGCGAAAGAAACCAATATTAAGTTTTAAATTTTGAAATTATAATACAAATATAAGATAAATATTGAAATATTAAAGGAAGTCACTAATAAGATTGATATATGTCAATTTCATAGTAGCTTGTGGTACCACCTCAATATATGGAGGTGATACGGTTGTTGTATTGTAGATTTTCTCTAATTTTGATGCTTTAGTACTTGTTATGTATCCCAATGTATCATCTTCATGCGACTGTTTCTTTTTCTTTACTAGTACTAGTTATAAATGTAGGGGTCAAAAATCATACTGACCTTGTTAAGCCCAATAACGAAATAAATATTACATACGACCTAATGCTTTAGCCCAATTCCGGCTAGGCCGACACTTAAAACCACCTTGTAGAAAAGACCATCTAGCGAGATGACTCACTTTGTAAGAAAATCCATTCTATGGGTCGACTCATTCTACGAGTTAGTCCATACCATGAGTCAGCCCTCTCCAAGAGCTGAGCTACTTTATGAATTGGGTCACTCTATGATCAGGGCCACTCTACGATCTGAGCCAACTTATACTTTGGGCCACACCACGAATTGGACCTTTCTACAAGTTAAGCTAAATCAAGCTCCAACCCATTAACCTATATTCATTCCAAAATAAGACTCTAACTCTCATACACTTCTAATTCATCAAAGATTCTTAATCTTACATGAATTAGTACTTCTAGTCCTACTTGGGCAAGTAATACTAGTTTCCTGTTTATTCAAACTTCTATTATGAGAACGTCTAGTTCTACAAGGACTCAAGCTTTCTTGGCTCACTATATAAATAGAGGTTAAACATTTCATTATTCATTCAATCACAGCCACTCTCACTAGTTCACTAAGTTATTGCTCCCAAGAACTACCATATTTCCCTACCGTAGAGCCTAGTTCCGACTAACTCTACCTCTTGTAATCGTCGTAGAGCATTGCCTTGACCACTCTGCGTCGATGAGTCGCGCCCTAGCCAAACACTCCTTGTAAACCCTTTCCCACTCTTAGCCTTACTAAATTCCTTTTCACCATGCTAACTTAAGTGTTAGAGTGTTTATAGTTGACACCACACTGGTGTCCTTCAAGCCTTCACATTCACCCTTTTTTGTCCCCACAAGTCTATAAGATTGTTAGTGGCCTTGTCCTCACAAGATCATTCTCATTTAACTCAAGCATAAATTTTATTATCTACAGTTTGGCGCCCACCATGGAGCCTTGATAATCATTCGAGCAGTAACGACCTGCTCCGTTTAGACGATCCTCATCATGACTGGAAACACCATTGGATTTTGTTAAAGTCAGTTCAATTATATGTTCCAATTAAGGGGAAGAATAGATTGGTCATGATCTCACAACATATATATTAATATTATCAACTATAAGTAATCTCTTCCTTTATGCTTCGATAGTGTTGCTTGTAATATGCTGCTATACTTTCATGTTATTAATAGTAACATCATTTGCGGTTCTATAAAGCTGCATCATTATTTTTAGAAAATTTAATAATTGAAAACTAAGCTATCATGTGTCAATTGCATTTGTTTGTTTGTTTGTTTCTTTTGTACCTATATATGAAGGCAAATAATTAATGCTTGACTGCACCAGACTACTTAGAGGCGGGAATTAAGCCTGAACCCTAAAAGTCCACCCAAAAAAACCGGTCCTAGGGTCGGACCAGGTCCAAGGGAGGAGGGCCCGTGCCTAAACTCGCTTCCAGTTTCCTTTTAACCCTTGTAAAATATCCAAAATCTCCTATTTAATATAAAATTGACAATAAATATAAGGGTTAAAATAAAATTTTACAAAAAAAATTGTCCAAGCCCATAAGACCAGTCCTTAGGCCTTGAGAAATCTCATAGGCCCAGGACCGATCCTTGATTATTTAGGCCCGGACCTTGAGGGCCTAGGCCTAGGACCGATTAGGCCCATGCGTTTCCCACCTTTAAGGCTACTAATCTCATCTATGGCTTTGATTTACAATAATTGTTGCTTGGATTGTATAGCATTAACATTATTATTGGCATTTCCAATTGGTTTGTATACAACTCAATAGATATAATAATTTATTATTAGATTGAGTAAGCTTGAAATTGTGCAATTAAAAGGATGAACATGTCATTGTACAATATATTTACTTTCATAATATTTACTTTATTCTTTAAAGGCAAGAAAGTGTCCATACCAATCCGGGGACTGTGGAATCAAGAGACTCCACTAACATCAACACTGTGGAATGAACATGAGTTGGCCAAGAATTCCTTTAGTTGAATATTGTCAAGTTAAATTTATGTTATGTTATGTTTTTGTATTTTGTAATTTTATATTTGTGTTATTGTGTTTGAATTTGTGTTTTAGTGTTTTCTATAAACTATATGCTTATTGGTTTTAAATTGATGAGAAATTGAGTTGGTTGTGAACTTTTGTGGTGAATTGAATTGAATTTGGGATAGTTGATTGTGGGGCTATAATTGTAAAAAATGAAAACTAAGGAATTATGGGGGTGTAACTATCAAAGTTGAAAACTAGAGTGAACAATATAGGTACCTACGAGTCTACCTGTATCTGCATAGGATAGGATCCAGGTCTAATATTTTGGACTTGTTTAGAGCCAACCTATTTTGGGGCCATATCCATTGGGCCCATACCTGCTAGACTCAGTCTATACTTGGCCCACCCACCCGTTTTGCCAAGTTTAGGCCTAATTGGCCTGGATATGATAGCGTAGAATAGATCCAAGTCAACTAGACCACTAGCTTGGTTGGTTGACAGTCACTTGCTTTTTTATTTTTAACTATTTTTTCAAAATCTTTGCAATTTTGTTGAGATTTGTTTTTTGAATTTTTTCATTTTTTATAAAATTTTTAGATTTTCTTCTAATTTTCTGTAGTTTTTTATTTATGCATTTTTTTTTTTCAACTTCATATTATTTAGTTTTTTAAGTTCTTAATTTTTTACATTTTTTTCTTTTAGATTATTTTATTATTAATTTTTCCAGATATTTTAATTGTCTTCCTTAATTTTTATTAAAATTTGCAATATGTACACAGTTTAATATTTTTCGTTAGTCTAACATTTAAAAAGTCTAATTTACCCTTCATCAGTTAGAGTTAACTGTCAAAATAGACGGCAGGGGGTTTTTATTGCCGGACCTTTTTTGGGGTCTAACTGTTGGTTTCTGATGTTTTAGGGGGTGCAAAGTATTAACCCTATAAATAATCATAATTAATTATATGAACAATTAAATGTATCTTGATTCCGTGCTTTTTAAAGCGGAAACATAACATAAAAGTTTCTCTCTTGAGCTTAATTTTGTACATTTGTGTTACCCAGTCTCACTATAAGTCGTACTTCCCGTCAAAGTGGGATTAGATAAAATAATTAAACTCAACTTCTCTAAGAGTTTACTTTAAAATAGACTCCTAATAATTGAATAATTATTAAAAGATTAATCCATATAATTATTCATTAAACCGAATAAATGTCACTTAAAGGCAATAGGTCATGTGGGAAATATAAAAAATCTTACCACAAGAACCAGGTAATATTAATAAATATGTTTCTTGTTTCTTGACAATGGCAGAGCTAGGATTTCAAGTGAGGGAGGGTGGAATCTAAAAAATAAAATGGAGGGTGGAATCAAAAAAATAAAATAATTAAATTTTTTTTAACATACATGTTGTCTCAAAGAAATTAGGACCTTTTTTGAAGCAAAGAAATCATCATAATAGAACATAATTGCGTCAAAATATTTTATTACGACACGAGAAATGGTATTATTAATCCATTGCTTTAGGCCTGTTATTGAATAGGTTTTTCGACACAAACTAAACTAGCGTCAAAATAAGATTCACATACTTCCACCATCAAAAACTTTATTTTCGGTGTTACGTAGAAAAAGGTTTATCCCAATACAACCCTTGCGTTTAAAAAGGTCTTCCTATAGACTAAGGTATGTGTTTTCCAACACAATCCTAGGGTAGCATTGACTTTTCCTTATTGTTTTTATTTTCATTTCCTATTATTTATTTCTTTATTTCATCGTCATCATTGTTATTATTATCTCTGAAATGATCTTTCGACCCTCGGATACTGATGTCAAAGCAACAGTTTGGTAGCTTTTTCAAAATATTGAGGGTAGTGCTTGATAAAAATTACAATAGTCATCATCGATGTAATTTACAACCTTTAACAAATGGACGATATTGGGTTGGCTATGTGCCGTTGGGCAACACTTAATATAGCCCGTTTTAGCTAACATGACCAGACCTGCAATTATTTGAAAGTCGATCAAATATTATGCCCCGTATACCAAAACCCTTTGCTTGATATGACTCTGTTCAAAGGGAGATTGGTTGACACTTACATTCACAATAACCAAGTGAAATACATACTAATACACAAACCACCAGCTTGTTTAATTCCCAAATACAATATTGCACATTAATTGTTTCTCCTCTGAAAATTATTATTAGCCAATGTGAAAGTGCTCTCAAATACTCACTGTTAGGCTGTAGTAACCAGAAGAAACGAAGTGAGAAAAAAAAACTTGCCAAGTAGATACAACAAAACTCTTAACAACTGAACAACAAATCTTACAAACCTTGTCTTTCTTACACTAATTAACCTTAATCAATAAACAATAAACATTTTCAACCACTGCTGCTGCTTCCATTTCCTGATCCAGGCATCAACTCTCTTAACATGGCCACAACCTGCAACATGTTAGGCCTCTTTGATGGGAAGTCATCTACACACTGTAATGTTATCTCCAAGTACCTCACCATTTCTTTAACTTCTTCCGCTTCAGCTTCATCTGTTCCTTTTGTCACCAATAGCAACTCTGGATCTATTACTTCCATTTGTTTGCCTTCTCTCACCTTCATTTTCACCCACCCGACCAAGTTTGTGTCCCCAAAATCATCCTTATCCGTGGGGCGTTTCCCAGCCAAGAGTTCCAATAAGACAACTCCAAATGAGTAGACGTCGCCTTTTGCAGTGCACCGGAAGCTTTGGTAATACTCGGGTGGGACATAACCGGGTGTTCCAGCTAGTGTGCTTACACTAAGATGAGTGTCTAGTGCACTTATAAGCCTTGCCATTCCGAAATCGGAGACTCTTGCTTCCATTTCATGGTCTAGTAACACATTGCTTGACTTCATGTCTCGATGTATAATGTGTGGGATGCAATTATGGTGAAGGAAACAGAGTCCTTTTGCAGCTCCTCTTGCAATCTTTTTCCTTTCTTCCCAAGTTAGAATGCGCTGGTCTCGCGTCTTTGATCTTCCATGGAGCACCTCTTCAAGACTACCAAATTCCATGAACTCATACACAAGGAGTCTCTCCTCACCAACTTTGCAATAACCTAACAGAGGCACAAGGTTCCTATGCTTTATCTTCCCTAGAGTTTCCATTTCAGCCATGAATTCTCGGTCTCCCTGGCAGCTCAACCGGATGAGTTTCTTGATTGCAACACTTGATCCATCCTTCAATGTGGCCTTGAAGACTTCTCCAAACCCTCCACACCCGATAAGGCTTGCTGCAGAGAAACCATTGGTAGCTTCAATGAGTTGGGAGAACTTGAGTTTTCTTAGCTGCCTTTGAAATGTTGCAACATTGATGCTCAATGGCTCTTTCTCCTTGTCAATCTTCCATGTTGTTGCTGCATGAGTTGCTTGCAAGCTATTAAGCATCTTGACCTCTTCTGCTTCCTTACGCCTTGCACGCATTGCGATTGCCCACACAATCAAAATGCATATTGAAGCAATGGAAATAAGGACTCCCATGACAATGCTATTAGCCCATGCTGCAGCAGCCAGCCTATGGCCTTTCTTGTCACCATCTGCACTTGGAGTTACCGGTGGTTGATTGTTGCTATTTCGGCATTCAGGCAGGGGAACCCCGCAAAGTCCGGGATTATTTGCATATTGAGTTGCTGGAAGTGTGCTAAGTTGCCCCCTTTGTGGAATTGGCCCTGTTAATTCATTGTTTGACAGATCAATTTGCACCAGGAATGATAGGTTTGAGAAGGACTCAGGAATTTGACCTTGCAATCGGTTATGCGATGCATCGAACACGCCTAAATTCCTGAGCTGGCCAAGCGATGATGGAATATCCCCAGATAGCTGGTTATGAGCTAATTCAAGAACTTGCAAAGCAATCATCTCTCCTATTTCATCGGGGATCTTCCCTCGAAGCTCGTTGTAGGAAAGATCGAGATACTCCAATGTTTGATACTGAGTAAAAAGACTCAGCACTGCTCCAGAATACATTCTTGTGAAATCACAAGTCCTCAATGTTGGAATTTGCAGTAACCTTTCAGGGCGAATTCCAGCAAATTCCAACAAACCTCCAACCCCTTTACAAGAATTTCCCACGTTCCTTACAAACACCAAAGTGTTACCTGAGAGGATTCCACTCAATGCTTTTGCACCAAGCTGACGGCCCAGTCGAGGCGGGATTGCTCCGGTGAGATTGTTGCTGTTCAAATCTAACCAAACCAAACTGCTACAATTTCCCAGCTCTACTGGAATCTCACCAGTTAGGCTATTATTTGCAAGTTGCAAAACAGCTAGCCTTGACAAAACACCAAATTCTTTCGGAATTTTACCTGTGATTTCGTTGCTTGTGAGAGATATCCATTCAAGATTACTGCAATTGAACAATTCAACTGGAATTTCACCACTAAGTTGATTATTATTGAGAATCAGGTCCTTTAGATTCTTGCATTGACCCAACTCCGGTGGAATTTTCCCTTCCAAGCCATTGAACCATGCTATCAGTTGCTCAAGATGCTCAAGCATCCCAAGCTCAGCTGGAATGGAGCCATTGAGATAGTTTAAACTAAGATCAATTGTTTTCAGCTGTGAACATTGTGACAACTGAGCCGGAATTTCTCCTTCAATAAGATTATCCGGTAATCTCAGCTCTTCAAGTAACTCAGCTCCCGGACATATGTCAAGTGGGATGATTCCTAAGACCTGATTGGAACTAAAATCCACAATCCTCAATTTTTTGCAAGACGAAATCAAAGCTGGAAATGATCCAGAGATTCTGTTGTTACTCAACAACAAATTCTCTAATGAGGTAAGATTTTGAAGGATGGCATCCGGGAAGGGACCAGAAATGTTGTTATTAGACAAATCAAGAAGTTGCAGCCAAGAACAGTCAGAAAAAGTGGATGGAATTGGCCCAGAAATGTTGTTAAAAGAAAGCTTAAACTCAAGAAGAGAGCCACAAGCATTTCCTAATTCAGATGGGATCCAACCAGTGATATGATTATGAGACACGTCTAATATTTGTAAACTCTTTAGCTCACCAAGACTTCTTGGGACCTCCCCAGTAAGTAAATTGAACGATAAATTCAAAGTTTTGAGATTTGTGCAATTTGAAAGGGTGATAGGAATAGAATCCATTAAATGATTCAGAGAAAGATCGAGGTGCAACAAGGAATTGCAAGAATTCACATCAATTTGCAAACCTGAAATGGATCCTGTTATGTTATTAGAAGACAAGTCAAGAACCTGAAGTTTATCAGAATTTGATAAAAAAATTTCTGGCAAAGTTCCAGTCAAGTTGTTTTGAGAAAGATTCACATAGACCAGATTTGGATATTTTGAGAAAAAGTTGTCAGGGACAAGACCTACAAGTACAGCTGAAGATAATTCAAGCTGTTTTAGTCCATATGGGAGCTGAAGCAAACAGGTTGAGTTTACTGTAAAAAAATTGGAAGAAAGTTTCAAAATAGATAACATATCTAGAGAAGCCAAAGGATCAAAAGAAATACTTCCACCAAGATAATTTCCACTGAGATTAAGTTGAGTGACTCTTCCAAGAGAGCATGAAACTCCATACCAGGTGCATGGATTTCTATTGAGTTGCCAACTCGACAAGACGCCATTGGGGTCTTTCTGAATCATCTTCCTGAAGGAAATAAGAGCAGCGGCATCCGTTTTGATAGATGGGACAATGCTTTGTTGGGTTGGAGAAACTGAGAGGTAGACTGCAAAGACAAGTGTGAGCGCAAGATGGTGTAAAAGCTGAAGTGTGTAACTCTCCATTGAAAAAACAAAACAAAGCTTGGAAAGAACTCAAAGTGAGAGATGGATAGTAACACAGAGAAAGAGAGGGAAGAGAGAGAGAGAGTGGTGAATATGATGAGAATTTGTTGTTTTTGCAAAGCATGAAAGAAAGCTTTACAAAAAGAAAATGCTTTTAATTATGTGGTATTAAATGGAAAGGAAAGGAGGGAAATGAACGTGGAGTGGAATAAGTAAAAGGAAAGAAATTCGGATGGAAGTTGGTGGCGGTGTGTATGTTTGCATTGTATTGTACTAATACGCTTCATTGTTGCTTTCCAGTACTAAGATCTAAGAATTTGGTGAATATTGATTTGACTTTTGGTCAAAATTAAATGGACCCACAGACAAAGTCTATCTAAGGATCGGCTGCTTCAGGGGAAATATAAAATATAGTCTGTGTGTGTTTGATCCAAGAGTCAGTATCTCAGTCTGTCAGTGAGCGTGAGAGAATGTTTCGTTCTATTTTATTATATTAATTTAAACTAAGAAATTATTCATATGAGTAGAATACAGTAGTGTAGGTTGGTGACATTACAACACAAATATCAGAAACCAATGTGAGCAATTATGTTTGCCTATTGTTTAAAAATTCCGTAGCATCATTTTGGGTTTGGGATATAATATCTATACCGAGATTCATATCTTTAATACACATCTTACTAGATCTAATTTTAATGTAAATAATGTCGTTTACATCTTTATTCATATGAATTATACGTGCATTGTTGAATTCAATTTAAATACATCATTATGCCCACGAATTCATTAGGTTTCAATTCAAAAAAATGCATTGAAATGAATTTGCTTGTAACACTCGAATTCATTGTCAAGATATTGTGATTTATTGTTTATCTACCTTAAATAGTTGGATTTAGATGTGTTCCCTTTTATTCGAATTTATGATTTTATTATTGAAAACAAATCAAGAGTACAAAAAGACAAAAATCCAACAATACCTTAACAGCTGATCAAGGTGTTACATAGCTAAGATGGGTAAGAGACAAAATCTAACAATACCTTGATAATGGATTAGGGTATTCCCTAGTATGTTGACAATGAACCAGGTTTTACATAACTAGGCTTTGGTTGTAAGAATACAAATTGTAAGAGCTTTTCAAATAGTTAAAAATATTGTTTTTTTTGCGAATGTGTTTTTATTTAAAAAAGAAAAGAAGCTTTTAGAGCAATAAAAGAGTAGTATTTCCACTGATTCTTTTACGCAAAAGGCTTTAAAATGTTTGTGTATGTATAGAAATATTCAAAAGCACACACAGATTAAGAAATACAAGATTACTAAAGAAGAGAAAATGTAGTGGATGAGGGACCCAAATGCTGAAATACGAAAGAGGAATCAATGATAGACTTCAATTGGAGAATCAATAGTAAGTGATGTTATTGTTACCCACTGCAAAAATACAACCATTTTTAATTAATAATAATTTAATAAAACAATAAAGCGGCCCACAAAAGGAACAACATCAATGAAGTCTTGTGGTTTAATGGGAATTGGCATGAGAGGTGATGATGCCTTCATTCTTAATTAATTTCACTTAAGAGTTTATTTTCATTAATTTGTTGCAAAGCAAGAGTTGGGGGCTTATTCATTCACTATTAACACTCATAACTCTTTTGGTTTAATCCCATTTTATTATTCTTAACGTTAAAGTTTAACTTTCTAGCTGTTTTTGGGACCACCACTTGCTTTCTTAGATCTTTGCAGATTCTTCATTGAAAAATATTACATAGATTAAATTACTGTACAATTAACACCTACTTAATTATATAATATATACTACCTTTAAACTTGTAGAGATTTCTATTTAATACCCTAATTTTATAGTAGAGAGATGGACGAGCATGAAAAGTATTTCAAGTCATATAATTGTTGATTTGGTTTTCCTTTATTATTAAGGATGGTTTTTGACTACTTTTATAAATAAATATGAAAATTTAACTGAAATGATTTTTAACTCAAGTAAACCATCTTTTCCCATCCAAATAATGACTTAATAACACTTTCCACCCGCAGACTTTTAAAATACCATTTTACTACGTAAATTTATATTATATTTTTGATTTTGGCATCGTTGTGACTCTACACCACCACTATTTTTTTCTTCGATCATCACTCATAAAAACTCCTCAAACCCTATTCTTGTTGACCCCACCAATTGTAGGCAATTGAGCAATTAGGGTTTGCATAGTCACCCCTTCCAAGTCAAATTCCGATCAGTCTCAACCACCAAAATCAAACCTTCCACCACTAAAAGATTCATCGACCTCTTCTCTTCAAAAGCCCTAACAGTCTGGACCAAATTTGCTTTCTATTTGCCGTCAGAATATAAATTTGGGTAGTAAAGTGATATTTTAAAAGTTTGTGGGTGAGAAAGTGTTATTAAACCATTATTTGGGTGGGAAACAGTCGTTAACTCTTTTTAACTCCCATCAAATTGATCAGCATACCCCACATTTAGATTTCTTTTTTGTTTTGAATATTTTAACCTTAAAAAATTTATTAGAAGTAACATAGTAATTTTTAAGTAAACTCATGATCTATTTATATTTATATTTTAATTTTTAACATTTAGTTCTTACATAAATCATAATTCTAAATCTTTTAAATCATTGAACAATTTTGTTTTTATTTCAAATATTTCCTTGGTTGAGGAAAATATATTACTAAATATTTGCAGAAAATAATCACATAATAAGATGAATCTGAAATATGAAGAAAAAATAAGTTTCAAATTTGAAATTGGAAAAAAAATAGTATAAACAAAACCCTAATTAAGAAAATGGGGAAAAATGGGGTATATATATATAAACTCTTATTGCGTTTGAAATTTTGGAAAAGTAGTGTAAACAAAAACCTTAATATTAATTAGGACTATTTTCAGTATTAATAAAGTTTAAAGAGATTTAAAAAGGAAATATATATATAAGAGATATATTTAGTTTAGTAATAGAGGATACTAATCAATTTGACGGAGGTTAAAAATCTCATTCAATTTTGAAAAGCTAATAATATTCGTGCACATTTAAAAACTTAAAAAATACGCTCACAGTAATCAAGTATTGTAGTTGGAAAAGGTAATAAAACAGTATGTTTTCATTGTAAAGTTAATAAAGCAATAGCCAGTAACTTACATACTTATCACATCTTTTTTACTTTTACATGTTTTACACAAACCAATGTTTTTCATCTGACGTTGCATATCTTTGATCTGAATCTTCAATGCCAATGATGCCTAAAAGTATCACACAAGTTAAAGAAGAAAAGACGGAGAAGTGAAGTAATCAAGAAAAGATAAAAGTAATATATGTAAGATCTCTATATGCCGTAATCTAAAAAGTTGAGAAAACAATGGTAGCATTTTACTAAGTTACTTTATATGTGTTCTTTGCATTGGCTTTTAGTAAATTAGATATTCAGGCGTTGAATATACATATAAAAAAGATAAGTTATTCGTTACAAATTAATTTATAAAAATCAAATTTATACAATTGAAACAATTCTGTAACCTATATATAATTTTGAGCTGTTTCCATTTTTTTTTTCCTAATCCTGCGTCAAACCCTATCCAAACCTCTCTTCAAGATTAATATGATTTTTGATAGTGTAGTCTTGAGTTAATTATTTATTTCAAACATGTGTTTATTTTATTTCTTCCCTTATGAGATCGTTTAGTACTAAACTCATCAACTTTTAAAACATATTATTTAAATAAATTCTATTAGTTTAATTGATATTTTAAAGTCAAATTTTTGTATTAAATAATTTATAATTTTTCCCATAATCTACCCTTTCAATCTATTATTAATAAGTTATTATCCTTGCAGATAAAACTTTTATCTTTTAGAACACATTAAAATAATAACACTATATCATCAAATTATTAATATGTTCTCATTAAAAGTCAAAATTTAATATTATTTTTCCTTTTGAAGAAATAAAAACTAAATACGATTTTATTATACAGTATTGTATCTTCAAATTTAATCTTTTCAAAAGTACTTATAACTTTAAATAAGCTCTTTTGGCCAATAGATAAATCCAACTAAACATGTTCAAAATAAAAGTTTACCATATTTTGGGTGGGTTTGAAATCAAGGTTTATTATCTTTGAACTTGTTTTGTTAAAGCCTTCATTTCTACATACAGTACTAGCTTTACAAAAAAATATGAACAAAATAAATATAAGACACGTGTAGAAATCTTAGACTTGAACTTAAATCTTCTCCTTGAGAATAAACACATCAACTGGCATATTTTGAGCTTGAGTAAATTTTATCACATGGAACTTGAATAACATATGCATAAATGTTACACATTTAGGATCATGTTTTGATATTATCAAATGCAAGCTTGTCAACTCTTAGAAGGCTTTCTATGGAGTTTATACGATATTTTAGACTTACAAATTAATATTTTAGTCCTATAGGAAACCAACTTGTTACTTTTTATTCTCAGATTCACCTAGATCTTCTATTAATCATATACTTTAAAATTATGAAAATATAATTTCTATTTAGGCCACTACAAATAATTTATAATAAAGCAATTAATTTATTCATATTTATCCATGTCATTCCGATATGTCTATCCATGACTAAATGACCATAATTTAATAGGCTTTCTAACATTTTTATCCTGTGCATATACCATTTATTTTTCGTTTTTCTTGAATCACTAATTTTATAATGGACCATATATGTTTCTATTATTATTTTAAAATAAATACTATCGAATAAACAAATTTTTGGGGTGTATATTTTAATACAAAATCTGACCTATCAACGCAACACAATCAAACAAGAAACAAAAGAATACCACAAAAAATCAAACACACAAAACAAGCCATGATTTACCGTGGTTCACTTATCCTTTTATGGATCAGCTACATCCACGTTGAGCTCAAGAAATGTATGAGCTGGCTGCACTTTCATTACAGAAAACAGTCAAGATACACAGATTCAACACTCACCATATTACCCATTTAACAGCAATCAGCCTTACAAGATACCCTGAATATCCAAAACCGAGAGGACAACACTCACCTGAATGATTAAAGCCCCTAATCACTCGACTGATACTCACAACTGGAATGTAGAATCTCAACCCTAACACAGA